AAGAAACTGGATGAATGACTGATGCCATTTGCTGCATGGGAAAGCTTAGGGAAGTAATTTGAAAAAGTGTTTATAATTCTTTTCTTTTTAAGTTTAATACTATTATTTTATTTCTTTTGCATTCATCTGTCAAATTTTCCAACTCATTTACAATCTGTCTTATATTTCTTTCCTATCCCCATGTGCCCAGCACAGCGCTGATATATATAATACCTGTTAAATTTCATTAAATTGAAGTGTCCTTATAAAAAAACACATGAATCAACATTTTCAATCCTTATGTTTGAAAAATCAAATACAGATGTTTTAATCAAAGACACTGCATGTTTAACATTAACAAATAAATGCTATAGAGAACCCTACTAGATGTATGTTTACAATTTTAAAATGCATACATTGTTAAATGTTTGGTGGCATAAACGAAATTATGAAGAAGTTTTCAAATGGACTTATACAGAAGGATTTTTATTTGTCTTAAATTATTTTTCTTATAAGTAAATTAAACATAAAAGAATTACACTTGACATCCTATTTTAAATAACTGTTAACAGCAAATGAGAAATGAGAAACCCCAATTATTGTCACAACCAACATAATAAAGAAAAATCACATAAATGCAAATTTAGCTATGTGTTCTCTTAAATTATACCATGGCAAAGCTGAATTCTAGCAGCTGGTGTTCATGTGGGTAATTGATTGTGGCATATGAACCCCAGGAAAACTTTTTCATTATTTTACTACTATTATCTTGGCAGAAGCCAGAGAAAATATTTCTTTATTTTGTACATTTTCTATATCCCCTTGCTGAGAGCCATTACCAAGTAGGAATGACGCATCATAATCCTTGCCAGCGTACCCCATGTTAAATGGACTTGCCTTGGAAATTTGCTGCAACCTTGCTTGTGTTTTTGAGAAAGGTGACCCTGCTCAATGACCAGGGTGGATCCAGGATTAGGGTGTACCCTGCAGGAAGTATCCCCGTATGGGCCACCAATTGCCAAATGCCAATGTCTCGGCTTGGCACAGAATCACGAGCCACCACACAGCTTTGTAGGTTCAAACAGCAATTCTTTATTCCCTATCTCACACCGCCTCCACACAGGTTCAGG